TCTGGCGGCAGTACCTACTGGGCTAGCTCCTTCTCACATCAGGGAAGGAGCAACCCCTCGATATGAAGGGGTTTTGGTGCCCAGCAGGCCCCCGTCCGACGCCTAGCAGGTTATCCCTGCCAAGCCTACTCACTACCGTGGCCGGCAGGCAGGGTCGGCAGCCGACAGCCTTAGCAGTTGCCTTACCCAGCCGGCCTTAACACCATCACCCTCGGCCCTCGTCGTCGAGACCCCGCCGATCCGAGCTTCCTACCCCGGCGCACCGCGGCCCTATACCCGACGCGGGCGCTCTTTTTAGCCCGTTTAGGCCCTGAATCGCGCGGCTTAACAGCCGTGCGACCTAATTATAGGTAGACTAGGTCTTAACTTTGGTTATCCCATGACCGCACACTACTGCGGCCTCGTCGCAAACCGCGGACGACAGTGCCGACTCCCGCTATCCCGCACGGACGTCGATGACGTCAGGTTCAAAAAAAGTTTAGGTCTCTCAATCATAGTGCTGGTCTTGAATAAACTTTGGCGACGCCAATCTCATCCAGTCCTCCAATTTCGTGAACATGTCAGACAGCGTCCGACGTTGAAAAACACGGGCAGATACCCGTGTCAGGGTTTCTGCCCCGACAGCGGCACCAAGCAAATCCCCAACGCCTACCAACCAGTGAGAAGATCCATGGAGAAATACCATCGTGAACACACTTACCTGTCCAACCCACACTCCTCTCGATCCATCACCCTCACCTTTGCTTTCAACGTTGATGGTGCTGGCAAACCATACCCGTCGCGGCCCTTTACTATCACCTCTTCATAGCAACCCCACCCTATACGCGCGATGCACCACTCCCATCACCGTCCACCCCGTAATCATCACTCAAAGCCTCTCCCTCCACCTCACGCCACCGCAAACCCTCTCTCCCGTCATCGCGTTGCTCCACCGCTTGTCGCCTCCCGGCGCCGCATGACTTCGCGCCGCTCCACCGCTGTTACCGCCCGGTGCCGCTCGGCTCGATTGCGCGGGCGGGGCGCAACGCTCCCGGCCGCGCTGCGCCCCCAAAGACTGAGTACCTTGCTTTCCACTAGCGGTTAATGGAAGGCTAAAAATTCGGGGTTTTTCGCCGCGTTGCTACAAGCAATGTTGTCGAAACTTTTGCGAACAAACTATGCAGGGTCATAATACAAACATGAAAAAACCAATCAGGCTAAAAAAAAACGAAAAAATCAAAATCAAGAGTACTATAAAACCCTTTTCGGAGTAGCTTTCAAAGTTCGCCAAAGTTTTTTTTGAGTTTGGCGTTTTTGCTAAGCTTTTTGTTACTGCTCCAAATACAGCGAAACTGAATACAGATATACCCTAAAGCACATATATAACAGGTAAAAAGAAAAACCGAGAAAAAAGTAAAAATTCAGGGAAATATGGCAGTTTTGGTGAAAAATTCGCCAAAATTCGCCGAATTTTGGGCCTTCCATTAACCGCTTCTCTCGATTTCACGGACATGGGGAAGGTGAGCGAGGGAGGATATTCACAAGTCATGGTCATTGTGGATCATTTTTCCAAATTTCTGAATTTGATTCCTCTACCTCCTCATGCACCAACTGAGCTAGTGATCGAAGAATTTCACTAGTAGTACATTCTGCAGTACGAACCCCCGAAAACTCTTGAGAGTGATCGGGATACCAGGTTCATTAGTGCTGATTGGAAGGACTTCACTTCGCAGATCTATGACATTAAACTCAACAAGACTTCTGGTCGACACCCCGAAGCCAACGGATTGGCAGAGGAAATCAACCAGACTGTCATTCAACTACTTCGCGCATTAATTGTTCTAGATCAGAACACGTGTGACAAAGAGTTACACAAAGTGAAAGGGTTGTACAACAACTCCATTCACTCTGCAACTGATGTGACACCGAATCAGCTGCAATATGGTTGGCAGTTGCACAATCCTCTCTCCTATTTTTTCCCCGAACGGTCCCTTGGTCTGACGCCCGGCATGTCGGCCTACAATGCCAAGTATGCACGCCTGCTCAAAGCTGCGCAGCAAGGAACAAGCGTCAGCATGCCATGATCAAATAAGCTAACAAGTCGTGCAAAGAAGGGAACTTCAAAGTAGGGAGTTATGTCTGGGTCAAAACGTTTGAGTTTTCTGACGAAGAGGGCGTATCGCGAAAGCTTCTTCCATTATACTATGGCCCTTGGCAGGTTCTAAAGGTGATTGGGGATGATTTTGGTCCTTCGTATGTGATTGACGTGCCTTCTCATCTGCGCACATATCCGGTCTTTCACGCATCCAAACTATTTCCACACATCGATGCCAAGACTTTTCCCTTTCGAGACCCTATGATACCTCGTCCTATCGACGACGGCCATGAGATAGACAGAATTGTTTCCCATGAAGGAAGAGGAAGGAACAGACAGTACAAGGTTCACTTCCTCTATCACCCGTTGAAAGAATTTTTCTGGATCGACCGAAAAGAGTTGCTAAAGAATGCTCCACGTGTTGTTAACGCTTATGAACGATAGATCGCTGATGGACATACTGCTAAGTTTTCTGCAAAACTCACTCCTCACGGTCTTACTAAATCTCTCTTTCTGATCTACGCCTATGATGCATTTTGTGCCGACTCTGAATGAGCTACTCGCTCGAAGGGACCTCGCTCTTGAGAGGGGGTGTAGTGTAGTGACCCGCCAAAAACACAGACTGAGAACACTGCTGATTTCTGGGATTTGCTGCTGGAATGAATGCCTTGCTGAGATCCCGCATTCTGCTGTGGTTTCTGTGTGTGTGTGCGTGCCTGCTGGTTTGCATGCCTGTCTGAGTGCTTGTCGGCTGAGTGTGTGTGTGTGACCCGCAAGGGTACTTGTTGGTGGAAAGGCCCCGCAGGGCCGGTACCTACCTGTGGCCGTGACTTTGCGGGTTGCAGTGAGGAAAACACTCAAGTAGCGGGGGTAGGCCCACGGCACTTAGAGCAGCAGGGAAAAACACTCAAGTAGCAGGTAGGCCGGTACCACTCAAGTAGTGGTAGGAGTGTCGGGTACTGGAGGCCGAGAAGAAGAAGACAAAAAGTTGGCATTTTTAGAGGCCCAGTAGCGGTAGGTTAGAGGTAGGCCGGTACCAGTCCAAGTAGCCCGGGTCTAGGGCATGTCCGGACGATAGCATAGCGTGCAATGATGTTTCCCTCTGAAAGGGAGGAGGTACCGGTTGTTGGGAGGCCGCTCAGCCTAGGAAGTCACCGCCCAAGAGGCTAGTAGGCCGCTATATCTTCCGGAGGAGCAAGTAGCTCCTCCTCATTTGCAATATGCAAGGATTGGCGACATGCTGCTGGAGCACAGCGCTGGACTGATACAGCGCTGCCTGGAGGTGAAGGGCAGCTAGGCACTCAGCCTGGCTATGGCAAGCAGCCCAGCCTGAGGAGGAGGAAGAAGGGGGCCAAGGAGGAGAGTGGCGAGGCACCTAGCAGGCTATGGTGGACACCATCGTCATCACCTTGTTGGGCACTGCATCTGGAAGGCCCCAGTTGGGGTAGTGCCGCACCAAGGAAGCTCGAGGCAGAGTCAGGCATGGCGGCTTAGTCAGCAGCGGCATAGCTGCTTTGGGTTGTCCTTTGGACAGGAGTGCAGTGCCATAGCTGCTTTGGGTTGTCCTTTGGACAGGAGGGCAGGGCCCTCAGTAGTCCGCCATAGCCTAGGCATGTGAGAGGAGGAACAAGGAGGGAAGCCATAGCTATGGTGGACTTGTTATTGTTGTTGTTGTTGTTGTTGTTGTTGTTGTTGAGTCAGCAGTAAGAGGGAACTTTGGATATAGATTCTGGTTCATCCACTCATTGTTATTATTATTATTGGGAGAAGAATAAGATTGGTGAAGTGAAGGAGGAGGAGGAAGGTGGAGAGAGAAGGGGGATTTGTCATTGGTCTTGCTAGTGTACATCTTCTTCTTCTTCTTCTTTTCCTTCTTCTCCTCCTTTCCCTCTTCTCTGGTCCCTATCTCTTTGCAAGTGCTTTCATTTCTTTCGCAATTGGGTGGCATTGTCTTTCATTGTGAATTTGCACTTTGGGGATGACCAGGATCGTAACATTTTTGAAAAAAAAAAAAAGGAATGCACCCCTACCAGCTACTACTACTCCCTTGCCCCGTTCATGCTCCCTTCTACTCTACTCGTTCCTAAACCTTAGCAACCGTCGTACACCACCTACCTGGCTGGTTAATAATCCCTAAGACCCTAACCCTCCTGTGCCCAAGAGGGCTTTGAGGCCCTAGGTATACCCTCCCAACAACCTCCTATGCCCCTTAAGAACTGGTGGCGGTTCATGTCCACCGTCCTCCTCCTGGTCTTCCGCATGGGAGCCTTCAATCCTACACCGATTCGAAATGAACCACGAACACATTCCATACCCCACTTCTACGAACTCAGCGATGGGGCCAACACCAACTTCTCAACCAAGGTTATCCCCGCAAGCTGGTTAGCCCCTCACCAAGAAAGACATCACGTCGCGCCAAGCCCATTGGTTAGACTTTCTTGCCCAGTTCAAAGCAACCGCGTTGCCGATGCACTCTCTCGATGCCCCGACCACAAACCCTCTGAGAAAGTCTACGCCGCCATGACTCATATCCAGCTCCTCCCATCACTCCACCACCGGTGCACCCAAGGCTACCTCTCTTGTCCGAATTTCTCAACATTTTACAACAAACTTCGTGACCTCGACTTAGTCCCCGACTACTCCCTTCATGACCAACTTCTTTACATTGACACCAACGACACTCGCCGACTTGCATCCAAGACGCACGTGGCCTCCGTACCAGCTCTTGGCCGAACATCACAACGCCAAGACTGCGGGACACCTCGGGTTCCAGAAAACCTTCGACACCATCTCCCGCTACCTCTATTGACCTTCCCTGCTCGCCGACGTCAAAGCCTACACTCGCTCATGCCCCACATGTCAAGTCGTCAATCCCTCAAACCGTGCCAAGCCCGACAAACTACAATCATTGTCGATCCCCACCCACCGGTGGCAGTCCATTTCCATGGACTTCGCCTGTGGTCTCCCCAAGTCCGACCGCGGACATGAGTGCATCCATGTCATTGTTTGCCGCCTGACTAAACGCGCCCACTTCATCCCTTGCACCACATCGCACAACGCCAAGGACATCGTTATTCTCTTCTTCGACCATGTCGCACACCATCACGGTCTCCCCGAGAACATCATCAGCGACCGTGATCCTCGCTTCCTTTCACAATTATGGAAACACCTCTTTAAAGCCTATGGAACCACGCTCAAGTATAGCACTACATTCCACCCACAGACCAATGGACAAACCGAGAAGATGAACGATACTTTCCAACAAATCTTGAGGAAGTATTGTCATCCACATCAACACGATTGGGATCAGTTGCTCACCGCCGCCGAGATCGCCTACAACAATGTTGTCTGTCCTTCCACCGACATGACTCCATTCTACCTCAACCTTGGCTAACATTCGTGCTTGCCCTCCGACTTCCTGCTCCCCTCGCAACTCAACCCCTCCACCCCCTGCCCTTCTCAGTGAATGGGTAGCAACAATAAACATACTCCTCAGAGAAGCTACCGAAGCCCTTGAAAGAACACAAGAACAACAAGCCAACAAGACTTATAAGCACAGATGTGACGTGTCATTCAAAAAAGGGGACAAAGTCTGACTCTCCCCCAAACGCTTTCAACCCGAACACGGCTTGTCCAAGAAACTTTCGAACAAATGGCTCGGTCCCTTCCCCATCATTGAACAAACCTCCCCCGTCAATTACAAGCTCCAACTCCCCCCTGACATGAGTCGTGTCCACCCTGTCTTCCACGTAGAATACCTAAAAGAATTCCATGAATCCTTATCCCAATTCGCTGACCGCCCATATCCTAGACCCCCGCCAATCACGTTGTCGAGCGCATCGGCCCCCTCCTTTTCTCCCGAAGAGGCGGGAGCCCTCCCGACCATGCCACGCAGGAGTTTAAACAAAAACTATAGAGACAACTTGGGGACGACGCAAAACATTCCGCGAACCGCCGAGACAGCCGCGGTTGCGACGTCCCTTTGCCGCTCTAGCCGGGTGCGCCAATTGTACATCCCGCGGTCCCCTACGACAGGATAGGTTCTCGCGGGGCACAACTTGCTTCCCTAAGGGGCTGTCACCACCCTTAGGGGTATATTCCTACCGAGCGGGGTTCATAAATAGGTTCTAAGATTATTCTAAGAACTTCTTGTACGATCCTGTCCTGGAAGCATGATACTCCCAATGGACGCTTTTCGTTCTTCCCAGGTTTTGGCAGAATACGAGTTGCTCCCCATTCAAATTCTCCTTTGACTATCGCGTCTCGAAGCTTCAAAAGTTTTTCAAGCGAGGTACTGACCCACGTGCAAAAGTTTTTACATGCAGAGGTGGGTCAGTCGAGGGCCTTTGCTAGCTCGCTGTAGTATAGGTACGCGCGATTAAAACGCCTATTGGACCCAGACGTCGTCCGTTCCTTAGGGCGCTGATCTCCTAAGTACGAAGCGTACGCCGGTCGACAAGGATGGTCTCAACCAAGCGTGAAACCTCCTTGCCCCTTTAAACACTAGTCAAAAGAAAGTTATAACAATCACACATAGTTATACCAAAAGGAACTGTACTTAGTCGATAGGAATGTATATCCTATTTGCAATGATAATCGAAAGAATCAAAATCATCATTAGGCACTCAAAAACTCGACCACCCCGGGTCGATCTCCACAAAAATCATACAGCCGCCAACGAGGAGTTGGGTTTAGACAATAACATATATGCAGCCGACACAGTAGTCGGACAACCTTAGTTTTGACTTGATGAGATGCGCTGCCGAAGTTATTCATTCCATATATCGCCGACCTAAGATTAAACACGTACATTCGTCTTCACAGATCCATAGTTTTCTTGGATGACACGTTGTTTTGTGAATGATTCTGGATCAGGTGCATTACTTGAGGTGTTGCATATCTCTCCCTCTAGGAAGTGGTCTGGGGTACTCCTCCTCCTCGCCCAAGCACAAGACTCGGATATCAGAAGTTGGGCCGTCTCCACCGAATCGACAAAGTAACCCCCCGTAGAACAGTCCACTCTGGGTCGATAACAGGCCGACTCCTAAAGCAACGAACCCCCGCCCTAGATGCTTCCTTGAAAGAGAGAAAGCGTCCACCACATCCTCCCCTGCCGAAGGTAATTTAGACGAAAAGAGTCAAAGGTGATAGAGAATGAGAATCATTTGGACAGGTAAAGGTAGATAAAGTCGTTCAGGATGGAAAGGGTCAATCCTTGGGAAGAGTTAAATTCATTATGCTTTGATTCTCTTTCTGTTTTCAAAATTCCTTTTCTCACGACACTCATGGATTATCCTTCAAAAATAGCAAGCAAGTTCACCCAACTCACTAACGAAAGGAAAAAGGTAAGGAGGCGAAATTCTTTGTCATTTTGTCAAATAACATTTTGTCCCACTTTCATACATGTTTTTTTTTACTCACCTGCACACCACGCAAACAACACAATCAAAAGAAGACAAGCAAAGTCCCACTACTCACGTCAGACCCACCTTTTCACTCATGCATGACGCCCACAACCCCACTCAACATTTTCTCCTGAACATTCAAAGCAACAGGGTCAAGCAATGTGTGGGTGCACACAGGTGTGAAGGGAGTCTGAGTCGTCCACTGACTGACCTTGAGTGAATTGGTGTCGAACGCGCCGTGGCTCACTCAAGAAAGCCAAGTAACATATGCGCATCGCCGAAGAAACCGCAGTCCCGAGGTAAGTCTTGGGTCAACCGCTAGTCCCAATTTACTCTTGACTCGCAATTCCTACTCGCGGCAATCCCAAGTGTGAAGGTGGTGAGCCACACTCGTCCCAGAAAAACACTCAGTCTGGTACCACGTCAGTCTCAACTGGTCCCAAGCGGTCCCAGATGGTCCCACGCGGTTCCAGGTGGTCCCATGTTGTCAAACACTTCGTCGAATGACTATTGAGTTGAAAACCGTTTCCGCCACACTTCTCAAAAAAAATAAAACTGGTGCCGAATCTCAATACCGCATGCGTCGAGACTGCCGCAAATGACCGCCTGCGTCCCACGTCAGTCCCAACTGAACCCAGGCAGTCCCAAGTAGTCCAGTCCCACTGCCGCAAGTATTGGGTAGTCCCAACTACAAAACATTTATCTCATATGGCGCATAAAAAAAAAAATAAACCCGCCCGTCGCGCTCAGATTTCGTACCGTCGCATGCCGTCAACCGCCACCATGTCATGCTGCTGTTGTTGTACACACCAATGGTAGCACACCTTCATCAAGAAAAGCAGACGCCGCGCCGCAACAAAAAAACTTTCCGTGTCGTGAAAGAAACCTCCACTGTCGCGCCGCACGTCCCACCGTCGTGCCAAACCCTCGTCGGAAAACGACAGCGCGTCGTCGCGCCGTACCTCGTCAAAAAAAAAAAAAAAAAAAAAAAAAAAAAAAAAAAAAAAAAAAAAAAAAAACCCGGCAGCGCTTCGCCGTGCCGTACCACCGTAAAAAAAAAAAGCCAGCGCTTCGCCGTGTCGTACCACCGTAATAAAACAGCAGCGCTTCGTCGTGTCGTACCACAGTAAAAAACAAAAAACCGCACCGTTTCGCCGCGCTGTACTACCGTAAAAAAAATGGCAGCATCACTCTTCAAAACAAAGTGTCGCGCCGACGTGCCGTGAAAACGGCAGCGTCACCCCTAAAAAGTGTCGCTGACGGCAGCGTCACCCTTCAAAATAAAGGTGTCATGCCGACGCCACGGTATTTCGGCAGCATAATCCCACAAAAATGGGTTATGGTTGCCGAAAATATCGGTCGGTACACCTCCACCAGTTGCCGTGCTACCCAACACTCCTTGCCACGCTGCGTTGCCGCTCCTCACCACGCTGCCGCAGAGTCCCCCTAGAGACCAGCCTGCCAAGGGGTGGAGCAGAGTGCTCCAGCCAAGGTTATGGCTGTCTCCTCCCTCGCCACGCTCCTTTGCTGTCCTCCAGCTCCGCCAGCAGCACTCCTGCCTCCTCTCCAGCACTCCAGCAATGAGGCAAGTGTGCTGTCACACACTGGCAACTGGAGGCAAGTGTGAGGCAGTTGGGGGACAGCTGCCTCTTTTGTAGTGGCTGAGGAGGGCAGCAGCAGCCTCAGCTGCCCCCAGGCAAAATTCGTCACTTGCCTGGGGCCGTTGAACTGAGCCAAATCAACGAACTGAGGCTGTCTCACCTCAGCCACACAATTAGGGTGGCAGTTGTACTCAACTACCCCCCTCTTTTTCTCTCTTTTCCCTGCACTCAGCCCCACACTGAGTGCAGGTTCAGCGGGAAAATGGCTGTTTCCAGCCAAGTTCCCCTCACTGACCCTCCAATACACAACTCTGGCCTGAATGACTGCATTCAGGCCAATACTGCTTGAACTTGGTGTACGGCCACAGCCACCTTCGTGGTTGTGGCTGTTGCTTTCCTCCCCCTTGCATTTCTTCTGCCCTCCCCTCAAAACAAAGAGGGTAGTTGTCAGGTTGGGAGAGGCAGGGAAGCAACTCGTGAGAATTCACGAGTTCAATCCCGACAGGCTCAGAGCTGGGTGCAAAAAGTACCCTGCCTTTGATGATTTAAAAAAAAAAATTAACCCAATAAAAAAATCTGAAAAAATTCACGTGCATGACCTAGGTGCCTGGCTACCTACAAAAACAATTTCAAGGCCGACAAAATTGGTTTACGCCACAAACCAAAAAAATACAGTTTTTCATAAAATTTGTACCCGTTTTCTAGTTTTCTTTTTCTTTTCTTTTTCTTCTTTTCTTTTCTTTTCTTTTCTTTTTCTTCTTCCCCCCTTGACAATAGGGAGGCAGCTGGCAGGTCGGGAGGAGTAGGTCCTCCTCTCTCTCATCCTCTCATTTCCCTCTCTTTCTCTCTCCAACTCCCTCAACTTTCCCTCTTCTCCCGCGCGTGCGATATAAGCCGGCTACAAAAATTTGTGCCACCATGAGGTGGGAGCTATCGTGCTCCCACATAGTCTAAAGAGACTGTTTTCTTCAACAGCAGAGGCATTGTTTGCCTCGTGCAACCTCTGGAGTGATGGTCGTTGCTTCAGCAATGACACCTATTTCCCCGCTGTTTTTTTTTTTTTTTTTT